GGAGGGAACTGAAGGGCAGAATGGCGGTGGGTGCAGTGCGCTCAGGCCAGAAGTAGCTTGGAACTTAGGCCCGGCCCAAGGGCACCCTTACCTGTGTGACACCGGTGGCCAGAGCTTCAAGTGCTCCTCGGAAGTGATGAAGCCCAGAGCACGCACTTGGGGCAGAAGCCATTCGCGTGCAATGACTGTGGGAAAGCCTTCATCCACAGTGCGCATGTGATCCGGCACCAGAGGAGCCACAGCGGAGAGCGGCCCTACGTGTGCCAGGAGTGCGGCAAGGCCTTCGGCCAGAGCTTCAACCTCATCCGGCACCAGCGAGTGCATGCGGGAGAGAGGCCCTTCGAGTGCACTGAATGCGGCAAAGGCCTTTGGTCAGCGTTCTGACGCCGTGAAGCACCACCGCATCCACACTGGCGAGCGATTGTATGCGTGCAGCAAGCAACCGCGGCAGGACCTTCGTCCACAGCTGCAACGTCCTCCGGCACCGCAGAACGCACCAGGCAGAGAACCCATTCGAATGCCTGCTGGGAGTGCGGCCAGGCCTTCGGTCAGAGCTCCAACCTCCTGAAGCACCAGTGTGCGCACAGGGGAGCGGCTCTTCGCCTGCTGGGACTGTGGCCGCACCTTCAGCCGAAGTCTTTCCTCCGCGAGCACCACCGCATCCACACTGGGGAGAAGCCCCTTGAGTGCCGTAAGTGTGGACCTTCTGCGCCTTCCGCGCACTGTCCGGGTTCTTCCGGCACTGCCGGGTTCACACGGGCGAGAAGCCCTTCTGCTGTGGAGTGTGGCCACGCTTTCCACCTCAGCTCCCACCTCCTGCAGCACCAGCTGGCGCACGGCTCCGAGTGAGCACGGGAGAGAGGCATTTGGCGGCCTGTGTTCTCATCCTGTAGACAGCGAGGAAAACAATAAAGCCCCCTGCTTGGAAAACCTGCGTGCGGTCCACCCTTCGTGCAGAAGCCGTGGGAGGAGAGGGTCACAGGGGAGAGGCTGAGATAGGATCACTTGAGACCAGCAGTCTGAGACCAGACACTCAGGGCAACAAAGCCAGACCCTGACCAACCAAAAAAAGTGCAAAGAGATTAGAAAGGAACTAGCCCGTTAAATAACAATATTTTCTTGAGATGGGATCTCCCTGTGTTGCCCAGGCTGGAAAACACAGCATGCTCATGTGAGACCCTGGGCTCCATCCCCAGCACCATAAAATAAGGCTCTGGAGAGCTTTCATGAGACAGGGACTAAGAAATGACCGCCGGGTGCAGCCACGAGGCAGCATTTGCTTCTGCAGAAGTGGCGTGTGAAGACAGGGCCCAGCCTCGGCCTGCAGAGTTTCCAGTCTCTGCTCTTTCCTCATGCAGGATCCGTGGGTCTGAAGGCGGAGCTGGGACACCACAGGATGAGCCAGACAACAAGCCAGGCCACTTCCTAGGACAGGGCTTCTGTAAGGGCCTTTGATCTAGATCACAGCGCCATCTACCTTGCAGAATATTTTATTGTACAAAACTCCCCAATCTTGCTCAACTAGTAAATGAACCACAGGCAAAATTCCAGTGGAGGCAGAGGCATTCGGAATTCAGTCTTCACCTGCCATGTCAAGGGCCCAGGCGAACTTTTCTCTCTGCGTCTTGTTGTAAATTTTTTCCATAGGAACCCCAAACCGCTCACACCTGGAGGGACATTGTTAGCCTGGGGGTTGGGTATCAGCCCCACAATGCATCCACCTCCAAAGCCAGGGAGCAGGGAGACCAGAGACCCTGTGTGGGCACCCGGCCCAGCAGCATCCCTCCCAGTGTCAGGGAGATCTCATACCTGCTGCAGCCCACAGCCATCTTGTGAGGTGCTCTGGGGACCCTCTGGCCTGGTCACCTCCTCCTCCCAGTGGTCAGGCTGAGCACCCACCTGCCTTCATGTTCCAGGCCACTGCTGGTCCCCAACCCCAAACTATCCCAAAGCTCAGGGAAGGGAGGACCCAGGGCATTGAACTCAACATCAGGGACACCTGGTCAGGCAGGTCTGTCAGAAAAAGGACTTTGCCTACCACAAGGAACCCAGGACAGGCTGACATACCAGGCAGTGCTGATTCTGGGGTCCAGGTAGTTGAGCTTGGATGCGCCCAGGGCCACCTGCTTGTTCTCCTCCTTGTCTATGGCCCGGGTACTCAAGTGGACCAGCTGCTCCTCCAGCTTTCGCAGCAGCCTCTGCTTCTTTTCCAGGATGCTGGCCGAAGAGAAGGGGGCATAGGTGCTATGCTGGTACAGTGGCATGGAGACCACGCTCCTAGCCACTGCTGCCTTCTCTGCCCCATGTTTCCCATCCATGCTCTGCCCATGACCTTCCCTGGTCATCATCAACCTCCCCAGGGACTGTGTGAGGTCAGGTGTCTTGTCAGGATCAAAGACTAAAACCCAAGCCCAACCTGTCCAGCCATCAGCTTCGAAGTGGACTCAGACCCAGAACGGACACTACTGAGCCACAGGAGGAAGGGGAGAACATAGGTGGGCTCCTCAGAAGGTAAAAGTGAGGGAGATGCCTAATGCAGGAGACAGTTGCCAAGTTCTCCTTCTTGTCTATGGCCAAGTAGGCCAGGTGCATGCCTATAGTCCCAGCACTCGGGAGGCCAAGACAGGAGGATTTCCGTGAGTTCAAGGCCAGCCTGGGCTACATAGCTAAAGAACAGCTGTCACTTATAAACAAGTTTGGCAGGGTGCCAGGATGTATGAATGTGTGACAGTGAGCTCATGAGTGACTGAGCCCCAGGTCTCGGCTGGGCTTTTCCCATCTGGTGTGTATTTCTGAGCATGTCAATTCTGACTCTAAAATGGCCAAGGCAGCAAGGGCTTAGGATCTGCAGAACAGGTCTACCTGGAACTCTGAACTCCCAGATCCTAACTGGCTGGCCTGGCCCAACTGAGCCATGCAGCTCCTCAGAGTGCCAACTGTGGACCACTCATGGCTGCTGCCTGGGCACTGGCAGACACCCTGGGGAAGGGCCTACTCTGACAGCTGTGGAAGATCAGGAGCCAGCGCTATGTATTTCTGACCAAAAGAAACATTGCCACGGTGTGGGCCCAACAGTGGAAGGCCTGAGGCCTCTGGAGCTCGCTGATTGACTTCAGCCAGCTGGATGGGATCTGTTTTCAGCCTCAGACTCAGAGCCTGGGCCCTGCCTTCCCCTCAGGAGGTGGTGTGGCTGCCAGATGCAACCAGTGGGACTGTGCTCTGCATAAATGACCAGAAAGAGAGAGCTAGGGAACGTTACAGGAGCCCTTCTAGAACATCTGGGAGATTCAGGATTTCACTCTGTACCATCCTAGACACAGCCTGTCCTTCTGGTTACATTTTCCTGTGAAAATGCTTTTGTCCCTCTTGCAGGGTCTAGATAAGAAAAAAAGACATCTGAAGAGAAGTAGAGTCAGGATCACTGGATGTGAACATGGATTTTGTAACAAAGAAGGAAAAGCATCCCAGAACTTGGGTGCAGGGAGGGAATCAGAGATCTCTGATGCTCCCAGGTTTATAGGACTGTCGTTTAACTACACTGAGTGCCCAGGGCACAAGGAGAGGCCCAGACAGTGCACCTGCTGCCTCTCCATCCCACCCAGCACCTCTCTTCACTGCTTTCACTCTGTGTCCTCTACTGTAATAACCCTTGGCCGTGAGTACAACTATATACTGAGACCTGTGACCCCTCTGAGCCACTGAACCTGGGAGGCCTTGGAGACCCCTAGCAAAACTACCAATGAACAACCAAAAATGGAAGAGGGCAACTAGGCATGGTAGCTCATGCCTGTAATTGTAGCACTCTGCGAGGTTGAGGCAGGAGGACTGCAAGTTGGAGCCCACCCTGGGGAACTTAGCAAGACTTTGTCTCAAAATAATAAACAGAAAATGTTGAGGATATAGCTTAATGTGCAGGCCCCAGGTTCAATCCCTAGTACCAAAAGAAAAAAAAAAAAAGAAAAAAAGGAAGAAAAAGAAAGAAGAAACCAGTTACACTTATAACCACATAGAAAATGAAATAATAAATCTAACCAAAAAGAAAAGACAAAACTTTCTGAAAAACTATGAAACTTTGCTGACTCAGGTAACAGACCTCATATTTAAGGTTGACACAATTGAAGTGCTAACAGTAGAATCCCAGATGGCTTCACTGCTGAAACTGACAAATTGTAAAATTCATGTGGAAATAGACAAGCCAATCTTTAAAGAGAAAACCGAAGTTGGAGGGCTCACACTGATCTCCCAATTCAGTAAGGACTAAGCCATGGGGCATGGGATGTAGATAAATTAAAGGAACTAAAGTCTACAAATGAACCCACAATTTGTTTTTCTTAAATGCTGTGCTTCAGAAGACATCAGCAGGAAAATGAGAACACTGCCAAGTGGAAGATGTCTACAGACCACACATCTGACAAGGGACCATATCCAGCTCTTACCACTCATCAGTAGGGACTCACCCAGCTGAATCATGGACCAATGACTAGAATAAACATTCTCCTCCAAAGACAAACAAGAGGGCTGAGGATTTAGCTCAGTGACTATGGCCCCTGCCTTGCAAGCTCAAGGACCTGAGTTCTATCCCTGGTACCAAAAAAAACAAAGACAAACGAGATAAAGATATATAGTGATACATCCAACCCATTTATAGCAGCACAACTCATGATAGCTAAATCTTGGAAGAAGCTTATATGTCCAGCAACAGGTGAATGGATAAAGAAAATGTGGTATTCATACATAATGGAATACGACTCTGCCATAAAGGGTAAACTTGAGTCATTGGGATGCACCTTGAGACCATAATGTTAAGCAAAATAACTCAGACACAAAGCTTAAATATCATGATTTCTCTAAGAAATCCAAAATGAAAATAAAGAGCAAAATATGAGATAGATAATAGGAAGTAGGGAGGTAGATCTTCTGGAAAAGGGAAGGAAAGGGACTAAGATGGGAGGAGGAACTATTGTGGCTTTCCTCATGCTATCCCTCCCTGTATCCTCCAGGGTGTTCTTTTGTCTTGATTTTTTCTCTTCTACTCATCCCAAACTTCCTCCGCAGAGCCAGTTTCTCCTTCACTCTTCACTTTTACTTTTTCGAATAAACTTTGCCATTGTTTCATTTAATTCAGTTCTTTGTTCGAGAGAAGAACCTGGAATCTAACTCCCTAAGGAGAAGCAAGCAACCCAGAACCCAGTAATGTTTATTTGGTGAGCCACTTTTAGAAGGAGCTACTTAATAATGAGGAGACTTGCAAACATTTAATACATGTAAAATTGTTTTGTTTTGCTTTAGAGTGAACAGTTTTTTATTAAAATGTTATTTGTGTTTATATGTAAAAAAAAAAAAAAGAGAAGAGGAGGGAGGAGGAACAAGGATGAAGAAAGAATTAAGATGTGGGGCTGGGGATTTAGCTCAGTGGTTCCGCCGCCTGCTTTGCAAGCCCAAGGTCCTGAGTTCAATCCCTGGAACCAAAAAAAAAAAAATAGGTTGCAAAAGAGAAGGGGACAAAGAGATGGAGGGGGGAGAGTGAGAGGGGAAGAAAAAAAAAAAAGAATTAAGATGTGTTATCTACATGTACTAACTTCCCACGAGGAAAATAATAATTATGTACTACAAACATGTACTAGTAAAAAAAAATAAAAATAAAGACCCCAAAAACAAAAAGCAAATGCCCAAGAGGCACCTGAAAAGAAGCTCTGAGACAGTTAATCTTGACTGTCAACTTGATTAAACTGAGAAAGGCCTAGCAATTCTGGGTGTGTCTGTGAAGGTGTCTGCAGAGATGAATGGCATGTGGGTCAGCAGGCTGAGTGGAAGCCCGGCCATGAATGTGAGGGTACCGTCCAGTACATTTTTCTTCAGTGGGTGGTTTGTTTGTTTGAAGCTGTCATCGCCTGCAGACACCAGACTCCAGCTTCAGCCTTTGGGTATGGGGTCACACCAGCAGCTCTCAGGGAGCTTCCAGGCTTTCAGCCTTGGACAGGGGCTACATCCCTGGTCTCTTGTTCTGAGGCTTCCAGCTCTCTAGACTGAGCAGCTACTGCTTTTCCCAGCTCTCTAGCACACTGATGCCATTGTGGACTATGCAGCCTCTGATCATGTAAGCTAATCTAATGTTCTGTTGGTTCTGGAAAACCCCAACTAATACAGCATCATTAGTCATCAGAGAAATGGAAATCAAAACCACAAGGAGATGCTACCTCACACACACCAGGAATAATCAAAACAAGGGACTAGCTAGATATGGTAACACATGCCTATAATCCTATCTGCTCCAAAGGTTAAGCCAGAAAGTTTGCAAGTTTGAGGCTAGCTGGGCAATTTAGCAAGACCCTATTTCAAAATAAAAATTAAAAAGGGGCTGGAGTATATAGCTCAGTGGTAGACCAGCCCCTGGGTTCTTTCTAGCAACACACACACACCAAAAACAAAAGAACAAAAAGGGACACATCTGAAGCATTGGCAAGGACATGGAGACCTCAGAACCTCACACAGCACTGATGGGAACCTGAGCTGGTGCACCTGCTATGCAAACTGGAATATCCTCTTGAACTGATGACCATGGAGTTATCAGAAGTCATGGCTTGTATCTAGATGCCCCCCTCTAAAGCCTCATGCACTCATAGGGGGGGCTTTTCGGAGGTGGCTGGATCTAGGGTGTATGAATGTGGATTAAGGGTGTGATAATTAAATTATTAGTTTACTGTAGTTCTGGGTGTGTGGTGGGAAGCCCCACCATGGGTGTGGGTGGCACCAATCAATAGGCTTATAGCCTGGATGAAATATAAGAGGAAAAGAAGGAAGCCAAAGCCTAGAGGAGCCAGTCACCCTCCAGGCCTGTGACACAAGGCCTGCAGCTCCATACTATCTTGCTTTCATCCTCAGTATTGTAGCTTGAATTTTTAAAAAACCATAAAATGACAATTGACTAGGAAAATAAGATTGTCCATAGGAAAGCTCAAGGCCAAAGCCAAGCACATTCAGGTTGGATAGGCTGGCCCTTGGGGTCTTCAAGGAAGCAGGCCCACACACACCTTGTGGACTTGCCATCCCCTTTGATTCTGTGGTCGACCTCAGCCTTCCTCAGCTCACCCTGGGCCTCAGCTACCTGAGTCTTCTTTGCCTGGATCTGTGAAGAAAAAGGAAGCTAAGCAGGGCTGCTCCTGTTCCACCCAGCCCTACCCAGGGAATGCCATCACAGCTGTGGGCCAAATGATGCCACCAACACAGAGCAGCCTGAGAGAAGGGCCCTGTACTGCGGCTGGGCCGAGGGTAGGGCGAGGCCAAAAGACCCCTCAGGCCTGAAGGTATCACCTGCTCTAGCCACAAACCTACCAAACTCCCCAGTGCTCTGCCTCTCAGTCTTCCCGGATAGACCAGGATGAAGGAAGGCTGTGTCCCGATAGGGAGGCCAGAGGCAATGCCAGGACAACTCTAGCCTGAGCTGAGCCAGTTTGCACCAAGGTGTTGGGTTCTTGGGCAGGAACATCCACCTCCTGACCAGGACCTGGCCCCTGGCAGCCTCAATCCCCCCACACCAGCCTGCTGAAGTACCTCTGCCTGTCACATTGCCCCTATGTCCACTGTGGACGGGCTCATCGCATCAGTGATGGTGAATAGTATGACAGGGGCTGGCAGGGTCTCCCACCTTTGTCCGTAGATTCCGCATTGACTTCTCAAAGGTCTTGGGAATTGCTTGCTGATGGCCGCGGTAGATGGCCACCACCCGGTTCGCCCGATTGTAAGCTAAGATCTTGGTGGCTATACTGTCTTCAGCTAAGCAAAATCAGCAGCAAATGTCATTCCTACATGGCCAGGCTTTCTGAACCCCTTGCAAACTGAGGCTCCTCCCACCTCTCAGAAGGACCTCCTGGGAGAGGAGACTGAGGGTCAAGGCTCAGGGACCTATCCAAGGTGGGCCCATGAACCCATGGTTTAACCTCAGTAGCAGGCTTGGAAGGTGCGAAGGCACCCAGAAGCCCCCAGCTCCCTGGGGGATCCAGCTCTGTCCTACTGGTAGAGCTGCAGGAGGAGCAGATCAGGCCACCCCTGAGCAATCCTAATCTCTAGGCTGGTCTAGGGCCTGGCAGCACAGAGGGCTCCAAGGAAGGGAAAAGCCAAGCATCCATCCATGCAGCACAGTCCTGGTCCTCGCTTGGGGACCCCCATAACTGCACAGAAGACTATCGCCAGGGCACAGTGCACCTAGCACCTGGCTTCACCTGGCAACACCACCATTACTTCTGTGTTTGCACCAGGAAACTGAGGCTCAGGGTGCTTAGGTCCCTCCCCAAGTCACCTGTCCAAGTGGACACTTGTTCTCACATGCCTCCCGCCAGGTCTAGGCATCCCCAGACCAGGGCAGCCAGTTCCACAGACACCTCTGGAAATGGGCCTGGTCTGCCAGGATGCCCTGCTCCAGGGTCTCTGGCCCTCTAAGGGGTTTTCCTCTGCCTGGGACTCTCCCATCTGGACACCAGTGGAACCTGCCCTGACTCTCCAGGGAAGTCCCCAGGGTCACGTGGCCCACTGGGCTCGAGTTAGTCATTCTCCACCACTGCTCGGGGTATGGTGGGGACAGCTTGGATCCAACAGTTCTGAGTTCACACCACATCCAAATGGCCTCACATCTCCTCAGCAAGCCTGCCCCGGGGAACTGGTGAGATAGGTAACAGGTGTGGGTGGTGGACATGGCCCATGATACCTCCGCTGTGATGGAGGAAGGGGAAGGGGCAGATACCAGGCACAGTTTGCCCCCTCTGTGCATCTAAGTAGTGGAGTAGAAATGCAGGTCCTAGGCTGGCAGCAGCATGACGAGGTGAGGCTGAGGTACTGGGCTGGAGACCCAGAGGTCAGGCCCTGGGGCAGCCGTGTGGTGGGGAAGGATAGTGCAGAGGCCTGTGAAGAACCTTCAAGAGGGCCCGGGGATTTAGCTCAGTGGTTTCGTGCACAAGGACCCGAGTTCGATCCCCGGTACCAAAAAAGAAAAGAAAAACCTTCAAGAACTGAGACCAGAGATAAGGCCGGGGAGTGATGAGTGACGGGAAGACAGGGCTGAGCAGGAGGGCAGCCTCACCCTGATCTCTCCATGCGGGCCACACGTAACCTTCCACCTAGCAGGCAGCCACACCCAGCTGTCCCTCAATTCACCCAAGACAGGCTGTACACCTGAGGCACCGCCCAGGCACAAGGATAAGCTCCCCGGCGCTCACTCACGAGAGGGCTAGGGCCCTGCTCACCTCTGGTCACCACCCGCAGCTGTTTCTAGAGGACAGTAGAGGCATTGTAGGTTCAGAACACCTTGGCTGTCAGCCCATCCATCGAGTCCTGCAGGTGCTTGTTCAGGCTGGAAGTCTGGTGGGAGGAGATGGCCCCCTATCAACACAGCTTCCCAAGATCTCCCCAGGGCACACCTGACTTTCCAGAGCCAGCAGGCAAAGGAACTTTAGCTGCTGGGTCAGAAAAGAAACCACCAGGGCCTGGTTGGGGACAAGGAGGAGCTAGACTCAGCCCTGCCACTCTGTTCCCTGGTCCCTGCTGTCCACAAACGCTTGGAAAATGCAAGCAGGCTTACAGTCAGTTTGTCAAAGAGGTCGTCCCCAGGCTCCTTGTTCTTCATGAACAGCTGTAAGTTCTGAAACACCTGAAAGAGAGGAGAGTTGAACCCAGAGCCATAAGCAGAAAAGACTCACGAGGCCAATGCTGGCAGATACAGACAGGAGCCTCATGAAGACAGGCAAGAGGACACATCAGGACTTGAAGGGAGGCAGTCCCAGTGCAGTGCCAGGCCCACTCACCAAGGGTTAGTTGCATCTTCATCCCTCATGCCTTGGCCCTGCTGTGGTGACTGCTAATGCAAACTACAAACTACAAACTGGGTGAACTTGGCAGGCAGGGAACCCCAGCTCCCTCCTTAGTCACCAACACTAGGCTTCTACCAGGTCAGTCTCACCTGATGTCACAGGACCTCAGGAGACCATCAGATCTGTGTCCAGTCTCTGCTCTTTTCACTTTCAGGAGGGAGTGCTCAGTTCCTCCTGAACAGACCAACCCTAAGAGGATACTGCCCAGGTGCACCTGCCTCTCCCATGGTTTTGTCCGTACGTCCTCCTAAGGGAGTCAAGCTGGACTTTGGCTCAGTGGGCTTCAGTTCTGTGGCCTCCACTGCTCTCTCCAGTGTCCGCACAGCAGCCTGCACCTCCCTTGGAGGGACAGCAGGAGACTGGTGGGAGGCCAGGTACTTTCCATTGCTGCTGTGCAGTGCGAGTCAGTCTTGATGACACTGAGTGGAAGAACCATCCTACAGCCGCCTCCCAGGAGAATGCTGCTAGGCTGAGGTGGTCCAGGGCCCGGCCATGCTGCCGAGTTCTGAGCACACTGTTTCCCCAACCTTTCTTCTTCATAGCCTTTCTCTCCACATTAGTTTTCACACTGGTGATGCATATGAGAGTTTTATATCCTATTTTTTCATTATATCATATGTTGTTTCTTCTCTTAAAAAAAAATTTTTTCTTTTTCAGACAGGGTCTTGCCATGTTGCCCAGGCTAGCTAGCCGTGAACTATCTCCTCCCACCTCAGTCTTTTGGGGAGCTGGGATTACAGCCATGAGCCAGCACACCCAGCTCTCCAGTATCTTTTTCACAGCTGCCTGATACTCTCCACTTGGGGAGACCCCATCCCTTGCCTCTTTCCTGTTTTGTTGGCTTCAATTTCTGTTTCCTAATGACTTGCTCCATAGGACAGACTTCAAGCTCACCACCCTGCAGGAGAGCCATGCTGGCGGCCCTGGAGTGACCCAGCTGGCCATACAGTGCACTGGACACCTCTCCAAACATCCCAAGGCTGGGCTACATTGCTGCTTGTGAGGAGTGAGCAGCTGGTATGTGGATCTATTTAACATCAGTAGGATGTGATGCCCACGTGGAGAGGAAACACTATCACCCAACAGAACAGCCATTCCAGAGGGCAACAGTGCTCACCAGGTTCTAAATTCTGCTCATTGGAATTGATCTGCAGACCAGGAAGTCCCTCAGGTCTTCCACACTTTAGTCATCCCTCAGATACTGGCATGATGTCCCCCAGCAGGCTCAACCCATCTGCATCCTTTACAGTAGAAGGTACCAGGCTATAGCCAGAGTCCCAGCAGACTGGGAGACCTTTCCTAGATACACTGAGTGAGCACAATCTCCAAACTCATGTCCTTCCTGGGACCCCAGAATGAGACTTTATGCAGAGGTAGGGTGGCTGCAGGTATAACTGTTAATATGAGGTCACAGTAGTATAATGTAGGCCCTAAACCCAATAGGAGTGTCTGAAAACAGAAGAAACACAGAGACACAGGGAGAAGAGGCTTTCATGTGACAGAGGCAGACATGAGCATGAGCCAAAACCAGGGCACTGAGGATCAATGGCCACCACCAGAATTAGAGAGGCCAAGGAGTAGATTCTCCCTGAGCCCCAAGAAAGCACCCATCACCACCCACTCTTGGACTTCTGGCCTCCTGAACTGAGACAATAAACATCTGTTGTTATAAGCCACCTAGCTGTGCACAGGGAGGACGCTGCCCACTATAAGATGGGCCTCTCCCAGCCTTAGGGAGACCAGCAGGCAGGCCACACCTCCCCTTGCAGCTCCTCCACACCTGACAGACACCAGGACAGGGCAGTGTGGTCACATGGACAGGGAAGGCCACAGAAGGTACTCACAGGCTTTTCCACTGACACACGGTTATAGTATCAGATCGAGTCCTTTCCCAGGAAGTCTAACTCCACAACGTGCTTGTGGCCATTAGCATCCACATGTAGTCGGACATGCTCCACTTGGAGAGAGCAGCAGCCCACTGTGTCGGCCGTTTCACCCTCCTCCTTCTCATTTCCGGTTCGCAGCGCCAACTGGACCAGGGTGGAGACCAATCAGGGTGCACACACACACAAACACACACACACACACACAAGCCTGTGCACATGCACACCCCTCTATCTGACCGAGGCTCCAGCTCTAGACAGCGGCTACCATCACCCCTGTCTGGCCAACAAGGTCCCCACACTAACGTATACCTTATCAATGAAATAAAGGGCCACACCCCGCTGTCTTTTCTTCATTACTTGTGACTTCCAGCCGGTGCGCTATTGAGAGCGGATCTCATTTACAACCCTCTTCAGCTGTCGAGCTATCTCATACTTTTGCCAATCTTTTTCCCTCTGAGTGAAAAGAGTAAATAGTGAAGGAATCTCTCCATATTTCTGTAACACAATGGACTCAAAAGGCTGAACTGGAAAACTGGGGCTGCTCCCACATTTGCCTTATTTGCAGAGCATGGCTGAGGGGCCCACCAGCACTCTTCGGGGATGTCCTAGAGGGTCACATGTCCTCACCTTCAGCTTGGAGCTAGGGTTCAGCATGATGTACTTGATGGAATTCTGGACATTCTCGGTCCACGCCGCCAGCCATGTGACTGTCTTATCTGAACGCACCTCTTTCCACTGATGACCTGCTGGGGGCTCAGGGATCTTTGAGTCCCTGCAATAAAACAGTTACCCAAACATCCTTTAAAGCCTTTATTCTCTGAAATGTGAGAAAAGCAAGCTCTCTAGGCAGCTGCCCCACACTGTGGCCAATGGCCATGGCCAGTGGCAGGGCTCCTGATCTGGGACAGCCTCAGGAACAGCCTGCAGCCTGCAGCTGCCCAGCCTACCCTCTGTGTACACATGAAGACCAGGGTTGGGCCAGGGATTTAGCTCAGTGGCTCCACCGCCTGCCTTGCAAGCGCGAGGACCCAAGTTCGATCCCCGGTTTAAAAAAAAAAAAAAAAAAAAAAGGACCAGGGTCACACCAGAAACTGGGTGCCACCCGGCAAAACAACCAGATCTGCTACTCAAGACTTAACAGACCACATGGCTGCGCTGCACCAGCCTGGCCACCTGCGGCTGCTCAGGCAGCCTGGGTCCAGGCACCCAGCCTACACAGCCTTAAGTAACACGGTGATACAGCACCAGCAGAATTTTTTTTTTTTTTTTTTTTGGTACCAGGGATCTAACTTGGGTCCTTGCACTTGTGAGGCAGGCAATGGAACCACTGAGCTAAATCTCTAGTCCAGGAACAGAATTCTTGCCATGGTCCACTATTACTATATGGATAATCTGAATATGAAAAAAGTGTTGAAAATGTGTAAGACACTTCCTGGGTGGGAAAAATCTCAACCCAGCAAAGCACAGAGAATTCTCACTGGTGTAGAGTGGCCCTGCTCACAGCCAGGCACTGCCTGGGACACCTGTAGCCCTCAGAGCCCCATGGGTACTGTGGTACGTGGGAATGGTGTGTGGTGTTACCAGCTGCATGTCATGTGATATGCCCTAGTTCCAGAAGACTCGAAGGACAAAGATCGCCTCGCCAGGTGGCCAAGTCAAGCACGAACAGGCTCAACCCAGCCCAGACCCAGCGCACACCTCCAGCTCAGCCTGGCAGCCTGATCTGCGCACTTGCTGCAGTTGATGACCACATCTTCCGGTCTGATTCTCCTCTTCAGCATCCCCATCTTTGGATGGTCACCACAGCCACAGAACAGCCCAGGCGGCTCTGCCTTGAAATTGCCTATTTTTTCTAGGTAGCCATCTAAAATACAGTAGCCAAACTCTTGCTCAAGTTTTTCTGCCTCTTCTTTGAGCTTCTGAGTTAATAAAAGAGAACACAGATATTAGAAGTGAAGAGAACAGAACCAACATGTAAGTCCCCTGTATGAACCCAGGACCTGCCTCTCCTTCCCTGCAGCTAAACCACTTACAGCCTCACAGACAGTGTGTGTCCTCACAGTGGGAGGAAAGCTAGGCAGATTCTAGAATAAACTCAAATCCCCTGCAGCCACTGGCTGAGGAGAGGGATGACCCTTCCCTAGGAGGGCCTGCAAAGTTGATATATAAGAAATAACAGGTTTCTCCTAACTCAAAGGCACATGTATTAGGAAGCACTATGAGACCGATCGTGCTCTACAGTCTTGCCATAGTCCATACTGCTCATGACATTTCAAACACTGCATATATGTTCAAGCATGCTCTGGGAAAATGGACCTACATTTTGAGTACATTTAAAAGTGTCTCAATAGGACACACAGGTGTAAATACCGAATAGTTTCTCTGGTGTGAAAAACTAAACTGTAAATAAGGATCAAAATGTATAATTGATAATGTAAAAATAGGAAGAAAAGGTCTAAAGGAGTAGGGGAAGTGGGAGGGGTAGGGGAGAGGAAAGAAGGGAAAGGAAAAAATGTAAGAAAAGGAAAAAATGGAAACAAAGTCTTGGTAAATAGGGAAGGGTGGAGGGGGTGAAGGGAGGGCAGGGGAATGGGGAAAAAATAAGAACCAAGATACACCATGTAAAGGTACAAGTTCCCAATGATGAATGTAACTGTATTGTATACCTAAAATGTACCAATAAACTTAATGGAAAAAAAAATAAAAAGCAAATTTAAAAAAGAAAAAAAGGGCCGGGGATTTAGCTCAGTGGTTTCACCGCCTGCTGCACAAGCACAAGGACCCAAGTT